TAATATTCATGAGTATTTAACTAAATGCTACTTTAATCAATAATGTATTCTATAAACTTTAGAATACTAGTGTTGTATATACTCAGCTTAAATAGTAATAAATAGTAAATGCATACATCACTAGTTGATTTCTGGAAGCCATCTCTGTGCGTCTAAGGTCTACAGAGCCCAGTTACAAATATATACATATAACATTAGTAATTGCTGTAGATCAAAAATATTTGTTAATGTATGGTGTATAATGTACAATATATTAGATTACTAAACTAGTAGTCATATTTCTTAAAATTTTTCAAGTTTGTAATTATTGAGTCGGGCAACATATACAAGTAAATTAAAATACATTTAATGAGCACAATTTTAGTAATAAAATTAATAATATACTATATACTGTAGGGCGAACTATTATAAGCAATTTGATTAATTTTTAAAATAATTTTATTATTTGAAAATGTACATAAAATGTACCTAATTGATATAAGTTATATCATAGAACAAATATATATGGACACCAAATTTCAAAAGAGGCACTTCTCATACCAAATGCATAACATAGAAATTATACGTTTTAAACATTTTATCAAGCAATAATTTGATTGTCTATTCCAATCACATAATTAATAAAATCTATATTATAAATAAAATTAGTTAAATTTTAAAGTAAAATTAAGTTTTATTATAAATAAATAAAATAACACTTTTCAATTGATTTGTTTGTAAATTATTTTATAAGTTAATACAGTACTAAAGTATTTTACTGAAGTTTTACAGTATGCATGAGAAGTGCCTCTTTTGAAATTTTTTGTCCATATAACGTAATCAATGGTATTTTATATTAAATACAACTTATAAATTACAAATAAATACTGTTAAAAACAGGATTAAGTTGCTTATTAAGTGTACTAGTACTTTATTGTATAATTGTATTACATCAGTAGTTAAAGTTATGTGCTGATTAATTAATATAGTAGTATACTAGGACAATTAATAGAATTATAAAAAGTGTTATTTAGTTAGTTCAATTTAACGGATGTAAGTTATCTAAAATATTTATCATATTTATCATATTTATCAATACATATCTTATCAGGAATACAGTATTCCGAATACTAATTATTGTTGATAAATATAATTTATAAGTCTATTTATAAGCATGTATATTGGGTGCATAAAATTATCAGTTTATTTTTGTGTTATAAATATATTGTGTTTAATTATCTAAACAAGGACATAGTACCTAAAATAATTAATCACAAATAGCTAACAGGATTACCTAACGGTGTTACTGATACACTACTTAGAATGTAATCATAATTATTGTGAATTAGTTCATATGTTCATAAATACTTATATAACCTTGATGGACATAAAATTTTTAAAAAAGTATAAATATATTTTTTAAGTTTACATAAATTCATTAAATAAAAATGAATGAGATACTAGCTCTTGTGATTATCCAGGTAATTGTCACATGTGTCCGGGCGAGTGACAAAGTTTTTTGGTATGAAAGCCCGGCCGCTGATGGTATGAATGAGGCCCTGCCTATCGGTAATGGACGGATAGGTGGACTGGTTTATGGACACCCGGGTTAGTCATAAAAACCTTTTAATTTTTTTAAAAGTTAAATATAAAATTAGTTATCAAAAAACATATTAAAAGATTATTTACAGTAAACTTTAGATTAAACACAATTAGTTTAGAGTTGTATTAAAAACCTAATTTATGTATATAAATACAAAATCATTTTTTCTGCATATCCCGGGTAAAAATATAGAAAAAGAGAGAATAAATATAAATGAAATAACTTTATGGACGGGCGATGACAATCCGTCTCAAGACTACCGCAGCCCTAGTTTTGGTGATTACCAGACATTAGGTAATCTGATCGTCGATTTACCCCAACATAAGGTCAACACTCAGTACAAGCGAGCGCTGGATATCGGGGACGCGGTTACGACCGTTCAGTACGAATCACATGGCGTTCAATACAAACGCGAATACTTTGTGAGTCACGTGTCGGAGGTATTGGTCGGCCGGTTGACCGCCGACAAGGGAAAGGCATACACCGGACGCATAGAACTGCAGGACTCGCATAAACTGACCGCACAGGCGGTGAACGATACGATTGAAGTGGACGGGAATCTAGTGAATGGATTGCGGTTTGCGTGGAAAGTGTTAGTCCAACACACGGGCGGAAGTCTCAAATTGAACGGTGCTTTCATTGAGTTCAACGGCTGCGACGCCCTAACGCTCATCGTTAGCGCCGGTACTGACTATGTGTTCGACGACCAAAAGAAGTTTAAGTCCGGCGAAGACCCGGCTATTAGTGTCAACGCGTGGATCAAGAAGGCCGCCGACAAGTCGTACGAAAGCCAACGGACTGAACACTTGTCGGACTTCCACTCGTTGTTTAACAGAGTGGACGTCGATTTGGGTCAGTCGTCGGCCCAACAGATGGCGTTACCGACCGATAAACGTAAGGTCGAAGCGGTCGCGACATTCGATCCGGACTTCGAGGAAATGTTTTTCCAATTCGGAAGGTATCTCATGATATCGTCGTCGCGAACCAGTCTTCCCGCCAACTTACAGGTCATTCACAAAATGTCTCCGATCATTTATCTATATTAACTTACATTATAAATTTATATAACTATATACTTTACTATGTTTAACTTCAAGACTAGCTTACATATCTGTTTTATTTGAAAAAGACCATGTACTCTTCTTACCTACGAATAGCATATAACAAATAAATTAAAGCAGAATTAATTATCTCTTTCATAATATAAAATATACAGATATGATGTATTGTATAGGCTAGTCATTAAAGTAAAACATGCATATAATTTATTATTAATATGACAATGATTAATTTTTCCAATATATAATATTACCTTTACAGGTTTTTTGTTGTTTTATATTAATTATTTAATTTCATATGCATATGATCAGGGTCTATGGAATGATAAAAATACCCCGTCCTGGCATTCCGACTATCACGCAGATATTAATGTACAAATGAACTACTGGCCCGCAGAGACAACTAACCTTGGTGAATGCCATTTGCCTCTATTCAATCTGATTCGGAGTCAACTGAACGTTTGGCGCAAACAAACGCGAGCTTCCGATCTATTACTGACACCTCTGGGCAAACACTCGTCAAAAGGTGTGGCCGTTTCGGGTCAGCACAACATCTACGGAGGAATGGGTTTATTATTAATGGGCGGACACTATGATTGGGATAAGACGGACACCGCTTGGTATGTATGACGAAAACAACAGGCAACTTATATAATAAGTTACGATACGTTTGACCTACTTTAGAGTTTATAATTTTATATTATATTATGTTTATATTTTTAAAAATAATTTATAATAGCTGAAGCGAAGGGGAATTTTAATTATTATAAGGAGTTAAAGATCAATTGGATTTCATATGGAATTTTTGAAAAATGAAAACGTTGTAGGTCAAACGTTCTTTAGGTCACAATCCAGATTAATAAATTATAATTTAATGTTATTTACATAAACGAGCCTAGATAACATTTTATTTACATCGAGCACAGGTATGCGCAACACTTTTGGGAACATTACGCTTTCGGACTGAATAAGACATTTCTAAAGGACGTGGCCTATCCTTACCTGAAAGAGGTCTCCGAGTTCTGGGACGAACAGCTGAAAGTTGTGACGAATGGCACTAAAGAACAGTTGGGAAAACTGGTTGTCCCTCACGGGTGGTCACCAGAACACGGACCCGTTGAGGACGGCTGTAGCTATAATCAAGAAATTGTTTGGGATTTGTACACAAATTATGTGAAAGCGGTGGATGTGTTGGGAGTCGACAAAGAGTTCAGGGATCGCGTGGCGGGTGAGAGGGATAGGCTGTTATGGCCAGGGATTGGATCGTTCGGACAATTGATGGAATGGATGGAAGAACAGAAAGGCGAAAAGACCGACCATCACAGACATACTTCCCATTTGTTTGGCGTATATCCGGGAAACCAATTTAATTGGGAGACAACGCCCACATTGGCCAACGCGTCCCTGGTATTCATCACGATATCATTTATATAAATATTTCTAGGCTACCCTTAAGACATATATCCTACACCATAGATTTCAAAATATCAGTAGCTTGCAAAATTACTAATGCTATACATATAGCAATATATCCTTATAAAGAACTCACGTGTACATCTATTCCCTATAACAAAAAGGTGAGTTCACTGTACTTCCCTTATGGTAAATTATGTTAAGGTATGTTGTATTTTAATGAAACCAACCTGCCTATAATATACCATGAGGGTAATACATTGAAGCAAACCTACAGGGTGTGAGGTATATGCCCTAAAATAATCCTACTTTTATTGCCAACATTGTATTTACTGTTTATTTTCCATAAACACAACAAATAGGTATCGCTTAATGCCAGAGGTATTGACCCTAAGAGCGAAGTGAAGGAGTGGTCGTTTGCGTGGCGGACAGCCATATACGCCCGGCTCAGGGATGCCGAGAACGCCTATCACTTACTTCGCGAGCTGTTGTCCGTACGTAATACCTGTCCCAATATGTTTGGATTACACCCTCCGATGCAAATCGACGGCAACTTCGGTATAACCGCAGCCGTCGCGGAAATGCTGGTCCAGAGTCACGCAGAAGTCGTCGAACTGTTGCCGGCTCTGCCCCGGGAGTGGACGGCCGGACACGCGAAAGGTCTGCGGGCCAGAGGCGGACACCAGTTAGACATCTATTGGGCTAATCATACGCTGAATAATGTTTTGATTACGAGTTTAGTCGCGAGTAACGTTAAACTCAAATTTGGAAATACCGTCAAAACAATTACAGTGACTCCGAGTAAAGCGATTCATTTGGACCACAATCTGAATCCTATTCCTCAGAGAAAATGACATTTTATTTATTTTTGATTTATTATTAAAATTTAAATTAACAAATTAGATTATTACAACAAGATTAATTTTGCCAAACATTAAAATATCTGTTCTTTTAAAATAAAACCCGGATTATATATAGGATATGAATTTAAAGATTTTTCATTGATTGCGAGTAAAGCATAAAACTTAATAAAGTTTAATATAAGTAGCATGCATTGTACATAACTAAGTTTATGACTATTTTTAAACAAATTAAATAAATATTACTGTTTATCAATAAATAAAAACTCATCATTCAATATACAATGCATGCTACTTATATTAAAACTTATATACTTTTATGCTTTACTTGCAAGCAATGAAAAATCTTTAAATTCATATCCTATATATAATCCGGGTTTTATTTTAAAAGAACAGATATATTAAAAGTAAATATAGACAATATTAGTATTATAGTTAAAACAAAATTCTTTACATTAAAATTAAACATTTTTTAAATGACATTTCAATTACTGAACTAGTATAGGAATTTTATTTTTTATGATTATTTATGATAATAGATTTACAAGTAGATAAAGTGTTTGACAAAAGGGTATTTAGTCGTTTATTTAGGTTTTAAAATCGTAGAATTGAGCTAGAACAAAATAAAAATTTTTGCAACTATTGTTTTCTGGCACCAATCCACCGGTATGCCCAATTTTATTCAGACATAAAGGGAAC